GGTGTCGGCAGCCCTGCTCTGCCGGAGTGAGCTCATTGCTAGCCTGAACCTTTAAACAAAGTCCCTTTTCCATCAGGCCAGGCCCCACTGGGGGCCTCTCCATTAGCTCAGAAGAGGTTTGGTGCCGATGGACATGTGCATAACCTTCTTGGTCCTGGTTCTCCAAGTCACAGAATATCAGGTGGAAGCATCTTTGTGACCACCTGGTCCCTCCCTTTTACTTGACATATCTGGAAACTGAGGCTCAGAGCAGTTGAGTGACTTGACTAGGGTCCGAGGTGTGTTCTGTAACTCCCATTCCGCCCCACAGGGAGGCTCCTGCGGGACCCAGGTCTTCTAAAGGAAGAGTGGGCAGCTGAGAGGCAGCACACCAGGAGTCATGTGACTGGAGTCATGTGACTATGCATATCCACCACCCTCTGGGTAAGTCTGAAGAATGGGAGTTAGGACCAAGGCCCTACTGCTCCTGCTCTGCCTCTCATAGGACTGCCCTGAGGATCGAGAATCTATGGAGGTTGAGAGAGGGCTGTGAGGAGTATGAAGCGTTGTGAGATCCATGCCACCCGCTGGCCAAGGGAGCCCACTGTTCCATGTGCCTCCAGTTATGCTAACCTTCCTGAAGACCTGAGAGGGAGAGGACACGGGGTGGGCTGGGGCACGGGGCAGATGTTGGTAAAGCCAATCCTACGTGGAAAGACAGGCAGCTGGGAAGTGGCAGAGCCATCTTTCATGGACTCCCACCAGCAGCACTTCTCCCTATAGTGAGCTGAGGCCTCCGCACCTAGAGGCTCCCGTGGCCCCGCCCACCTGCTGAGACTAGAAGGGACTCAGCCAGCAGCAACCAGCTCGCCCTGGGAGGCTCACCGCGCTAGTCCCCTCGCCTGAGTCCAGCAATGCATTGCTCAGGGCAATTGTAGGTGATAGTTAGAAAATGGTCACATTGTCCCCATAGGAGGCTTGGAGATGGCACAGCCTTTATGTGGCGAAGCAAACTCAGACCTGGCTCTGCTTCCGAACCACCAAGGAGGGCAGCGGGCAACAGGGGCCTGACCCAGAGCAGGCGGCATCCAGGGCAATTCAAGGGCAAGTTGCCATTTTTAAAAAATGGAAGAACTAGTCTCCACCCTGCCTGTCTCACAGGATGGTGACAATATTCCTGACAAAGGTGCTTTATAAACTGGGAAGGGCCAGTTAAGAAAGAGGCCTAGTCCTTTTCTGCCACAGAGAATTCCGCTCCCAGTGAGGAGTCTGGTTGCTAAAAACACCCGTGCTCAGGAGTCATTTCCAAAAAATTTGGTCCCGCAGACCCAAAGCTACATTCATCCCAAACACTGCATCCTTCCCCAAACCCTTCCGTGCCCCCATCTGGCATGCGAGCCCCTCTCGGCCCACCAGAGGGCAGCACATGACACCAGATGACCAAGGCAAGGGCTCCATTCCCTACAACCATCAACCCAAAGTGGCCTTCGGAGGCTCCCAGAGCAGAGGGACCAGGGGAGTTGCTTTCAGTCCGTGGGTGTGTACCCCTATTACTACTAATTTGCTTTTGTGCATTCACCACGAACCAGGTCTGGCCTAAGTTCTTCACATGCACCATTGTGTTAAATCTAGGAAGTAAATAACATCATCTCCATTTTGCACGTGAGGAAGCTGAGGCTCGGAGAGTGTAAGTAACTTGCTAAAAATTGCAGAGCTGGTAAGAGGCAGAGCTGGAGGCTGCCTTCAGGGCCTGTGCAGCAGCCGGGATTGTCAGACACCTGGTGCCCAGCAGGGACTGGGTGGCCCCGAGGTCACCACACTCTGCCTCCTCTAGGCCTGGGTGCTGTGTAGACCATAACTTCCCTCATGGGCAGGGGACCAAGGGCAGAGTCACTACAGACCTCTGTGTGTCCATCCCTGCTTTGCTCAGAAGTGCTCCTGGCTAGGCCTGGGTCTACACTAACACTGGGTGGTCTCTTTCCAATATTGGCCTCTGCATGTGCTCTGTGAAAAAAGCACAGATTCCACGTGTGTCGAAGCAGGATGTCACCACAAGGGGCAACCCCCTCATCTATTCATTCACTCATTTGACAAGGTTCTAATGGACTGCTACCAGGTACCATGCACGATGCTAGCGGTAAGGAATTAAAAAGGCACAGTCCATGGCTTTCAGGGGAAACAGAACAGTAAAGTGCAATACAGTGTGATAAGTGCTACTGACAAAGAGGCAGGAATCTCATGAAGAAGAACAGTAATACTGACATTCTATTGAGCTTTCTCAATGTCTCGGGCATTGTGATAAATGCTCTCACTCACTGTCCCACTGAATCGGCCCAACAGCCCAACGAGGTAGATGCTATAGTTAGCCCCATTTTACAGATGGAGAAACTGGAGCCCGGAGGGGCTGAATGGTGTGTGTGTGGCGAAAGAGCTAGTCTGTGGCAGAGGCAGGGTTTGAACCATGACACTGGTGACTCCGAGAACTCTAGGGACACAAAGGGGCATCCTCACCGGATGGAAGTGCCCAGAGTGATGAGGTCACTCACTCCAGAACCGGGGCCAAAACCCAGAGATGGAGGGGGCAGGTCCTGAGACTGGATACCTATGGTGACTCAGCCACTGCCCATGCAGTCCCCGCGTTTACACCATCCACTGAGGGTTAGAACAAGGACAAGGCCTTGGGTCTCCTCCTAGGTGACCTCACCTTTTCCAAAGCTTGCATTTCAAATAAGTCAGCATCACCCAAGTCAGTACCATCAGCCCAGACCCTTCACCTGCTCTACTGTTCATCTCATCTTCAGGCGCATCCCACTTGACACACCCTAACATGCTCGGTGCCTTCCCTGGCCCCTATGCGTGCTCTGCTCTCCTTTCCATGCCGCCCCTCAGTGAATGGCCCCCCGTCCAGCTGTCCATCATCCCCATCTCCACTCAGCCACTATGTCCTGCCTCTCTCAAAACCCACCCACTCTCTTCATCCCCACTGGCTTTCTCATAACTTGGGCCTCCCCCACCTCCTGCCTGGACGATGCCAGAGCCTCCTATTGGGTACTGGACCTTGTTCATCTCCATTCTGTTTCCCACGCTGCAGCCAGAATAATTTTTTAAAGCAAAACTGATCTATAGTTTCTCACACTGAGCCCCTTCAACAGCTTTCCACTAACCTTAGAAAGTTGAAACTCACCGTGCTTCCTGCCCCGCCCCTCTCCTGCCATCCTCAGACATTCACTGCAGCCACACTCACACCTCTGAGTTCTTCTCCCCCTCAATGTCCTCACCACTGCACTTGCCCTCTTCCTTTCCCCTCACCTGGCCTGTCTGCTTTGCCAGCTCCTACTTATTCCTCAGGCACTGGTTTAGACCAGGGTTGGCAAACTTACCTGTGAAGGACTCGATAGCAAATATTTTAGGCTTTGTGGGGCATGTACTGTCTCTGTCATTCCTTCATCTTTTTTTAAAAAAAAAAATTACATCCCTTTAAAAATACAAAGATCATTCTTGCTCATAGACCATATGAAAACAGGCCACAGACTAGACTCGGCTCACAGCCAGGGTTTGCGGATCCTTGGTTTCAACATCAGTTCCTTCAAGAAGTTTTCCAAGGCTGTCTGGCCCCACGCTGATGGAGGTGCCCCTACCTATGTCCCTACGATATTCTGTACTTGTCTGCCTGTGACAGGGAAAATTAGATGTTGGCCAGACTCCATCCTCTCCTCCTCCTCCTGGGCTCCCAGCCTTCCTTACTGTTGGGTGTGGTCCAGTGACTGAGTTCCGGCCAGTGAAATACGGGAGGTGACGTGTGTCACTTCCAGGCGGGCCCATAAAACTCCCCACGTGCACTGCTCCATGCTTTACCCCTGACTGGGGTGCAGATGACCCCATGGTGACCTTGGAAGCCACCTGATAAAGATGGTACAGTCATTCTTAGCTGGAATTTCAGAGTAAGGAGCAATCCCTGCTCCTTCCTTCCCCTTCTCACCACACACACACACACACACTGACTTGGAATCATGCTGAACTATTACGTGGAAGAGACACAAATTTCCACTGTGCTGAGCCATTGCATGTGTGTGTCTGCACCTGGCCTATCCTAACACACTCTCACAGCACTTATCACAACATCTGTAAACATTTGCATATCTGAGGAAGGATGGGGACCTTGTTCATCACTTCCTCCAGTGTGCAGGCATCTAGCATGAAGCATAGCATCCTCCCAGGACACAACTGAATAAGTGAGTAGCTGGGAGTCCATTGATTGGAAAGCCCTTGGTCCCTGAGCCTGGTGGGACACGTATTGGAAGACCAGGAGCCCAGGGGGAGCACTCACCTTCTTTGCTCACACCCAGGCAGCCCTTCAGCTCGGGCAGCGAGATGACCTTGTCCTTGTTCAGGTCACAGTAGTCGGTGAAGCGCCGGGCGCATTTCTTGGGCTTGGCTTTCTTCTTCACGTAGCGCTTGAAGGGCTTCATCTCCCGCTTGTTGATGTCGTTGCTGCTGTTGCTGTCCAGCTGGCTGAAGTACCAGTGCACCACTCGCTCCTCCAGGGTGTGGCTGGGGTCCGGCTCTGAGAACCTGGGCCACGGGCAGACACCCCCACCCCAGAGAGCACGGCTCAGATGCCGTAGGAACCATCAGCCCCACCAGATTCTCTCCCGTAGCTCAGGTGGTGGGCTGCGGGCAGCCAGGAAGACAGGCTCCTCCAGCCAGAGACCTCCCAGACCCGCTCAGCCTGTACAGAACCAAGCCATCCTCTCTAGCCTGAGTCTCCAACCTGGATGGTTCAAGTCCAGTGGGTGACTTTATTGCATGAATCTGCTTCACTTTCTACCATAGCCGTTCTTGTACAAGATGGGTGCTCACACATATTGGCTGGCCTTAACTCGCCTGAGAAAACCACAGGTTGGACCTGAACTGTCCTTCTCCTGGCCTAGTGTTCCCTGCCAGACAAGCTGCTCTTCACACATGAACATGTATGAATGTGGCTCAAAATGCATGTGACTATGGGAAAGGGTGCTCTGAGCGCCAGGCCAGGTCCCGGGAGGGCTTCCAGAGTGGGAGGCGCAGCCCTGGCCCCAAGCTGCTCACTGTCTCAGCGACACAGAGCCCCTGGACAGGCAGGCAGGCAGGGAGACCTCGGTGTGAAGTGTGACGTTCCTGTGGCCCATCACTGTCAGGTCCCACAGGCATTGAGAGAAGGCCGTTAGGAGGAACACAAGCAGAGGTTCTAAACTGGCCATCCCAGACCTGCTAGAGGCGAGTCCACAGAGAAGGTTGAGCCAGGAGGTCCCGGGTGGGCCTGGTGCACCACATGCTAACAAGAACCCCGGCGGCTTTGCTGAGAAGCACTGGACCCAAGGAACCACGACAGCCTGCTAGAACCTGGCACAGTAGCAGGCATGGCTCACAGCCACAAACGTGGTGACCACACAATGACACTGCCTGTGCTTGTAACATGCGCAGCTCACCCATCATTTTGTCCACTGATGCCTCATCTTCTCCCCAGGAGGACTTGGGGTGCTAGCTAATATTTAAAATGTTTAAAGCCAGTGATGGGTCTATCCCAGGAGGAGACTGAGGTCTCTGACCAGAAAGCCAGAGCCACAGGAGTGAGTATGGACACAAACAGAGGTGCTAAAACTGGCCAGTCCCAAACCCGCTAGAGGTGAGTCCACAGAGAAGTTTAATGGCAGGAGGTCAAGGGTGGGCCCAGGCCCTCGTGTTTAAACTCCTGGGCAACCTTCCCTTGGCAAGGGGCGTAAGACTGAGCTCGGGGGGTTCCACACATCCTAATACTTAGTCTGCAGGGTGCTGGGGAAGACAGGTAACCACCATGCATCAGAAGCAAGACCAAGGGGCTCACTGCTCCAAAGGGGTCCTAGCTCAGGGGCTTGGGGCCTGCCAGAACATTCTGCAGCCGGGCCTGGCAAGAAAAATATTCAGGGCACTTGCCAACGCCTTGGGGTTCCTCGCTGGGGTTTGCTGAGTTTTCCAGACAGTAGGGGACCACCCTTAACCCCTCCCCTATGGACAAGCCAGCAAACTCCCTCCGCTTCCTACCCCCAAGTGACCTCAACGTTTAGGGAAAAAGAAGTTTCATTACCGCTAAGTGCCCAGTCCTCATTAAGTGGATTGCAGTCTTGGGCAGGCTCCCTGGGCACCCTGGACTGATTCCAAGAGAGCGCAATTAGTGGATCTGCCAGCGGGGCCTCATCCTGACAGGTTTAATGCGGGAGGACCTGGGAAGGTGGAGGGACGGGCTGCTTCGGGCTCACTGGGAATCGCTTGTCTGTCCTGGAAGCCAGGCTCGGGAGGTCTTTGGAACAGGCTTTGCAGTTATTCAACGCGGAGCTCAGATTTCTGTCTCTGCCAGTACAGGTACCTGGGTGTCTATTTTACCTGCTACGTTCACTTTCAAGCCTGCCCCTGCAGGGTGTACCAGGTGGGCAGCAGAAAATTCTTGGTCAGGATGCTCACAGTGCAGGGAGGGTGGCCAGCTCCCTGTGGGAGCGCCCCGCCTGCCTCTGCAGCCCCTAAACTCGAGGGAGGACCCACAGAGGAGGAGCCCCAGGAGAGGTGTTCCAGTTACTCCCACCAGGGGTTCTCTAGGGCAGCTGGGGCTGGGTAGGCCCCTCTGGCCAGGGGGGCATGAGTGTCCCAGGCAAAGGCAGCTAACCTTTAGGCTCGGCATAGCGTCATGTCTACCTAGAGGCTGGAATAATAAAGTCTCAGTCGCTGAGACGGGAAGGAATGAGGTCATCCCGCCTGGACGCCCTGCCAGGAGAGGCTCGCTGCCTCCAGCATGTGTTCCTGGGGCTCCGGCCGGCCCAGTTCTCAGCACCTCCATTGATGGAGCTCCCTGCACCACCTTTGGGTTTGTTTGCAGCAAGAAGCCTCTCTTCTCACTTTACAACTCCTAAGAGTTCCCTCCCATGCTGAGAGTTAGTCATTTCGCTCCTGCTCCCTTGTCCTTCCCTTTCTTTTTTAAAAAATTGATTTCAGAGAGATAGAAACATCAATGATGCAAGAGAATCATCGACCAGCTGCCTCCTACACGCCCCCTACTGGGGATGCAGCCTACAATACGGGCATGTGCCCTGACCGGGAGTCGGTGACCTCCTGGTTCAAAAGTCACTGAGCCACACCGGCCAGGCTTCCCTCCCTTTATTTTGACTCTCCCTCCCTGCCCTGCCTCCCTTGTCCAGAGAGCCAATTTCCTGCCCTCCTTGCTCCCCAGAACCTCAAGCCTGGAGCAGCCATGACTTCTGACTGCTGGCCTCCCCGGTCCGCCTCCTGACCTGGCCCCTGGAGGCTCTAAGGACACTTGCAGAGGAGAGGCCCTCTGGGGTCCCACCAAGCAATGCCCCTTTCCCTCTGTTACACTGACATAGCCCCAGCCTGCCTGTGGAGCCTGAGGTCTCCTCTGTCCTCCCTCCTCCCAGCTGGACTCTCGGCTCTGAACTTCTTTGACCTCCAGACGCTCCCCCTCCCCCTCAAATACAGAGCTTTGCCCTCCACGGGAAGCAGCAGTGCTAAGGTCCTACCTTGGAACCCAACACCTTGTCCAGGCCAAGCTCCCAATGCATTTACTAGTTAAAGCAAGCATTTCTTAGCTCTGGGAGATGGTAGACCCTTCTGAGAACCTAGGTAAGCTCTAGTCCCTCTCCCTAAGAAAACGCACACACACATAGGACTCTATAGATTTTAGGGGCTTAATGGACCCCCTAAACCTTGTCCAAGGTCACAGACTCAAGTAAAGAACCCTTGATTTAGAGGGAGGAGGTTCTCACCACACCCCAAAGAAGGTTTAAGCATGAACCTTCCAGAAGAAGATGGGGTGAGACAAAACATAGCACAGAAGGATTTCGGGGTAGTTTCCATACTTCCAACAAAACATAATAGAAAAAAGAAAACTCTGAAGGCATCTGGTTTAAAACTATGTAAATCAGGTTTCTGGCTTCATAACAGTCTTAAGTCCCAGACCTACCAAGCGTCACAAGATTTAGTTAAGACCGAAATCTACTGAGCATCCTGGGCCAGCCAAACCAGCCGTGGGCACAGTGGGAGACAGGAGGCCTCTGTTAACTAAGGGAAGCTAAGGTTTTCCCAACAGAGCGAGGAGTGGGGCAGGAAGGCCCCTCCCAGAGTTTCCAAGAATCTCTTAAGCGGTCTTGACTGGAGCCCTTTCCATTGTAGTTAGGCTCCCCAAATTTACCCCCACCTCCAGGTTATTCCCTACTGAGACCCCCCGCTCTTGTAGCTTTCTACAGTAGCCTTTCAATACTTTGACAACTTGCACTCCCAGCTCTAGGCTTATACTGGCATCAAACTTCAAATCCCTCTCTCACACGTGCACACATGATACCCACTGGAGACCAGGATTACTGGAATTCAAAGCTGGTTAGACAGGGTCTGGAGACCCTACATTCAAGAGTGCAATGGTCCCTTCAGATCACTTAGCATCAATTTGCTGGTCCATACCACAGCCTCCCTACAGGTAAAGTTCCACTTCTACTAAAAGGGCCCGTTGGGTATGTAGGGCATTGAAGTATCCTTGGATATGGTGGGAGAGACATAGTAAAATGCCCTGCCTCTGGGCTGTTTAGGTGGCTGTCCTGCTGACTCCTGCCTCCAGGGATAAGGAAACCCACTAGCAGCGGTTCTCAACCTGTGGGTCGCGACCCCTGAAAATACATCCTGCATACCAGATATTTACATTACGATTCATAACAGTAGCAAAATTACAGTTATGAAGTAGCAACGAAAATAATTTTATGGTTGGGTGTCACCACAACATGAGGAACTGTATTAAAGGGTCGCGGCATTAGGAAGGTTGAGAACCACTGTGCTAGAGCCAGGGGCCCCTGGACTGGCCTCCATGAGTCTTCTCCCAGGTGGAGAGGTGGCAGGTGCCACCCTTCTGCAGCACTTTCAGTTTTGCTTCTGGGGCCTGAGCCGTGCCAGGCCTTGGCTGCAATGCACAGCTGGAGAGCCAGCCCCATTTACCACAAGGAAACTTGCTTCGGCCAAGATCGTGGGCCCAGTTCTGCTGTCCCAAGCAGTTTTATAGAAGGTGAGGTGGGACGGCCCGGAGGCACTAGCCAAACCAAGCAGACCAACTGAGCTGCATGTGGCGTCGGGGCCAGCCCGGCCAGCTGTGCGGGAGGGCGGGGCTGGGAAATGCCAAGTCAGCCACATTCCAGCCTCTTCCTGCAAGGCCATCAACAAGTAACCACACTGGGCAGGAAGGAGGAAACCACAATAAAGACAGTCTCTCCTGGAGGGACCACAGAAGGCCCACGAGGTTCACATGTCCCATCCCACCTCCCCACACAGTTGCCTTTCTCCAGGGCGAGTGAAGAAAGGGCTCAAGCACAGTCCTCCAGCTGGGATCTCAGAACTCGGCCTTTGGGACTGATAAAAGGCTTGTTGGGTGCCATGGGAGGACTAATCTAAGGGAGAACTCTGCTTCGTGAAGCCCTGGTGGGAAGGACCAAGAGGATAATTCAATCATCCAAGATGCCTTCATTAAGAACGGCTGCCATGAAAAGACACTAGGCCAGCCCCTCCCATGCACCAGCCACAGGCGTTTCTAGGGACACTCTTCTACTTTGTCTATTTTTAGATTTGGGTGGCACTGCTTTCCCTCTAGGTCAGGCTAGCAGACCAGAAAAGGAAGTAGACATCTTTCTCTTTTCCATTTCCTGCATCTGAGAAGTCTTCAGATCCTATCGATCTCATTCCTAAAGCTTCAGTACATCATCCCTTCCCCATAGCTGTAGTCCATTCTTCCTCACTCTTCACACTGACCATTGGGTAGCCTTCCTGTCCCGACTGGCTGCTGCCCTCTTTGCCATGAATCACAAGACCCAGCATGATCTGGATGCCGCCCAACTCTGCCGTCTCATCTCCTGCCTGGCCGCAGCCTGCTTCCCAATGTAAGCCATGCTTCTTGCAATTCCTTCCACAAGGACCTACCTTGTTCATATCTCACTACCCTCGCGGCCCCCTCTGCTAGGATGCCCTTATCCCTGGTGCATCTAAGTCGGAGCATTTTCCCATTTGTAAGCGAAGAGGTGGCTCCAACGTCGCCTCCTGTGTAAAGCTTTCTCTCACATGCCCTCCCTCCCCTGAGTCCCTGCAGCACCTTATCTGCCTCTATTATTATACTGACTTTAAAGTGCAACCACGTGATTAGCTATCTCTTCTTCCAGGAGCTCCTCCAGACCAAGAGCTGTGCCCTTGTCCCCGAATGTCCCCAGAACCCAGCACAGAGCTTACATGAGGGGAGGGCAGAGATGTAAGAGTTTGAGCAAAACTAAAATCTCCACGCCTGACAGGTGAGTGGGGAGGGAAGACACCCTGCGTTCAGCACTGTCCAGCATCCCTCCTGTCCCTTCTCCCACTGTCCTGAGTAGGACTGTTTCCCACTGGCCTCAGCTGATGTCCAGCTTTAACGGCCAGACCCTGAGCGGAGGCAGGAGAGCCCGGATGTGGTTTCCTTTACACTCGTGTGTGCGTCAAAGAGAACTCAAGTGCTCTGTACCTCCTCCCTGCCCTCCCTGCTTCCATCATATGCCATCCTCCTTCCTGCCATGGAGGACTATCATTCCATGTATCCACCTCTGAGACCGAGATAAAAGGCCTTATCAAGATATATTTCTCTGTATCAGACAGTGATCCCTCCACCTATCCACCCATCCTTCTAGCTGTTTAATCATTTAGCAAATATTTATTGAGCACCTGCTATGGGCCAGGCACTATTCTGAATTCTGGGAATAAACACAGCAGGGAAGAAGGACTGACCCTACTCAACCCCTCCCCAGTCTCCACAGCATCTGGGAAAGTCAGGGGCCCCATGATCCCCGCTGGGCCCAAGTCCTGCTCACATTCTCACCTCCCGCCTCCAGTGGGCGCTGCTGAGTTAATGGCCTGCACCATGTCCGTGGTGAGGGCATCCAGGAGGCTGGTGATAAATTCCATTTTCTTTCCTTCCGGACAGCCTGAAAAATACGGTGAGGTTTGAAGGCTGACACCACGTAAATAATCAAGTAAACAGTTTCCTTGGCGACCACCATTTCCCAAACTTCTCCAAGTCCTTCTTGTCCAGCCAAATCCATTTTGGGAATCGCTTACTGCTCAGATGACTCTCACAAACCTCCACACTTCCTCTACCTGCAGCCCACAAAGGACCGTCAGACAACATGGATAGTAAGGCTTTCAATTTGCTTTCATCCCACAAATTTTTGCTGTGTGTCAACTCGGGCACAAACTTTTGCTGTGTGCTAACTGTTAGGGATATAACACAGGGTATAGTGTCCTCATCCTCGTGAAGTTCACAGTCTACTGGGGAACTCGAGCTGGTTCTATTACAGCGTGACCAGCGGTCTCTGCAGGCAAGGACAGGAAACAGCGGTCTCTCCAGGCGCTGAAGTCACCAAGGTCAATGTTGACTCAAATAAACCTATCAGTTTACCTATCCAAGAGCCTCCTCCTTTTTCTCGCTTCTCTTCTCATCCAACTTAGATGATAATGATCAAATCTCCCTTATAAACGCTCTCAGATCATTTGTTTTTCTTCTCCTCCTTTGCTCTATTCCAGCAAGACCCAAAGCATGGATGAACCTTCTCACAGATTTGCTCTTTCCAAGTCGACAGCTCAGTATTGCTAGTGTGCACACCACCACACAAATGGGTGTCCCTGTCAATTCAATGGGCCCCGGACACTCCCTACACAGTCCTCCTTGGTGACTATTTCATTCTCTTTCCTTTGCAAACACTGCAGGTCTCAGTGTAACTTCTGTGCAAATACCTTTTCAGAGAAGCCACAGACTCTGAAGTAGGCTCTCCCTGCCCTTCTCACAGCACAAAAAAGTCACTGCTATTTGTATGCTTGTATTTATTTATTTGTACACTCTCTGTCTCCTCCACTATGGAAACCTCATGTCGATTTTTGTTGTTGTTAATCCTCACCTGAGGAAATTTTTCCATTGAGAGTGGAAGGGAGGGTAGGGGAAAGAGAGAGAGAGAGAGAGAAAGAAAGAGAGGGGGGGGGACATCAATGTGAGAGAGACACATGCTTTGGTTGCCTCCTACAGGTGCCCCAACTGGAGCTGGGGGTTGAACCCTCAACCCAGGTATGTCCCCTTGACTGGAAATTGAATCTAAGGCCCTTTGGTGTGTGGGCTGATGCTCTAACCACTGAGAAACACTGGCCAGGGCCCATGTGTCACTTTTGATCATGCAATGATACTCAGTGCCAGGCACACGGAGAATCCCAATTCACGTTTGCTGAGGAGATGGCTAGAAGGAACTACCCCGGCCTCCACAACTCCATCTTGTAACAGGGTGATTTCTACCTCACTTGGAAACCCCACACCTTCAAGAGCCTCTGTTGCCAGTTCTCACACTGGGGTCCTGATGGGGAATGAGGAATAGGGACGGGGAATTGGAAGGGAGGCCCAGCTCCCACAATCACGGGTCCCAGTTTATGCTGATTTAAATGAGTGTTTCAAGCCACCAATCCGTAGTAATCTTCTCGTAACTCATTAGCAGAGTACTCTACGAATAAGGGGGAAACCAGCACAGAAGCCATGTAGAGGTCCTGGGCCCCCCACCTGTGTGTCTTGTGTCATAGGCCAGTGACAGTCCTGGGCCACCAGGGATCATCACAAACGCACTTGGCAGTGCAGGCAACAGGCAGTGCCCACATCCCCCAGGACAGCCCCTTCCTGTAAGCTGTCTGCTCTTCACAGCCCTGGGGAAAAGGGTTCACAGCACCCAGAACGCAGCCCCGGTCACCACAGGACAGAGAGAGAATGATAGGATTGCAGGGACAGGTTGTAACCCAGTGATCACATGTTGAAAATAAAAAGGTCAGGGCAAGGAGGAGAGACAATGTGCTCAGGGGCACAGGACTAAGTAGGGACAAGTCCCGGACTGGATGCAGACCCCACAGCTCCTGGCTCCGTGCTCCCAGATGCCCCTGTCCAGCACGCCTGCTCCATCTCACCGACAGGACACAGACCTCAGGAGGGAACACTTTGCATGATGAGGAGGGGGTACAGAAAAAGGTGAGGTGCCAGCAAGGGGCAGCGTCATCTCCCACCTGGCAGCTCCCTGTCCTTGAAGGGGTCATCCACTTCCGTGCTCTTGGCCCTGGCATCGCTCTCACAACTGGGCATCACGTAGCTGGGGAGAGAGAGATGATGCGTGAAGAGGGGACTTCAGCCACTACTGCAGCAACGATCTGTGTGGTCATGAAGCCTGGAGCTCCCAGGTCTGGCAGGGAAGTACCTCCTGCCCTGGCCAGCAGCCTCACTGAGCAACCCCAGCGTAATGTAGCCACTGAGACGTGTCCTTCAATCATTTAAGCGTAGAGATGGCACTGTGTGTCTGCACACAGGATCTTGTTTGATCCATAGGACCTAGAGACTCAGGGAGGGCAATAGCCTTCGCATCGGTGAACTGGGGTTCAGAGAGGCTACCTACTTTTCCCAAATCGCCCAGCATCCAAGACCCAGATCTCTCTGTCAGAACCTCATCTGCCCATGAAGGGAGGCGCTGCTCCCCCAGTGCGTTGATTCACCCAACCCAGGGCAGTGAAGCTGGGAGGGGCCGGGGGCCAGTCCCAGGATCCACCCGGGGGACAGGACAGGCTTGGGGGACTTACCGTGTGGAGGTCCCAGGCAGCGGGCGCCCCGTGTCCACCAGCACACACCAGCAGTAGCCTGTGGACTGGTGGCACTGCACCGGCTTGTAGAGCCCCCCAGGGGCGCACTCTGGGATGACAATGCCCTCCCGGGGGTTCTGCCGGGCCTCCTCCAGGGCACTCTGCCTCTCCTGGTCACATGAGTGGACTTTCTCTGCAAAAGAAGACACGGCCTGTGGTTACTATCACTCCCGTGACTCATCGTTGCTGCCCTCCATGCAAAGACCCAGCCTGGTCCCAAGGAACTGACAGCTTGGCTGGCGAATCCTCAGGAAGAGCAGAGCGGTGCCTCCCCGCCTTCAGGGCTCATCAGCATCCACACCCAGTAGGCTCCAGCCAGGGACTGCGGCCACTCCTTACCAGGGCAGCGGTTTGCCAGGGGCTGGGGGGAGTGGGGGTGCATTTCCCGACTGTTTCAGAGTGGCCCCTGCTGTGCACTGTCTGTTGTCACAGTCACCACAGCAGATGCAGGGAAGCCTGCCTGTGGCTCTCCCAAGCCCAGACACAGCCTCGGCGGGAGCCAGGCTCAGTGCCCAGAAGGGGCAGACACGAGGCCCTGCCCGCTCCTTCCCAGCTCCGACAAGGCTGCACAAAGGAAGCTGACGGGACTTGATCCTATTACACAACTCTGCTTCCCGCAGTGGGAGGGAGCAACGGGCCTGTGGGAAGGTGTCTGGACCCCGTGGCCTCGGGGACCGTGAACGTGTCTGGACAGTCACACTTGGCTTCCCTGGAGCCAGGCCCGGGCTGAGACGTGTGTGCTGCCCAGCGCCAGGAAGGCCGGGTCAGAGGGCCTCAGACACACACGGCCACCGGCCCGCAAATCCCACCCCGTCAACCAGCCAACCCACCTCACTTCCCTTTCTTGGTTTTCTTTTCTTGTTATGGTTGTCGGGCTGTGCTTCGTCTTGCAATTATTAAAAATAAATAGCATTGGGTTTCTTTTTGTGTTATTAAGAAATATTTAAAAACCCATAATCCCACCAACTCAATGCCACCTCCCCTAGATCTTTTCTTATGCGCACGTGCACACACGCAAATGCATATGCATATGACAACTTGCATTTTTACAATCAAAGGGATCACACCACAAATCTCTACTGTTACTTTTTATCTATTTATTTGTTTGTTTCCCTTATTATTTTTTTTTCCAAGAACATTATTCAAGAACTTTCCTCTTGAAGATGACAGGAATACAGCCTTGAGCGTGCCGTGGAATTTTCAGTGCGTTACAAAAATCCCACTCCTAGGGCCAGGAATTTGGTTTCAGCAGCCTGGAGACTCATGCTACTCACTGAGCAACCGAACAAATGATCAAAATAACAGAAACTCAGCTCTCGGGCAGCCAATCCCTCTGAAAGAATGGCTCTGTTAATGGTACACATATGAGCAGTGCAGATGTTTACGCTGCAGCCATGCCCAGAGATGCAGAGCAGCTCCACTCTGGCTCCGAGAGACACCGGGTGATGGGGAACCGACGGCCTCACAAAACTGAGGAGTGGCTCACACTGCAGGGGGAGGGAACGTTTCCTTGGGGGCCTAAGAACATCTGAGGGTCAGGAGGCAGGTGTGGATAGCACAGTCACTATTACAACATAATTTTGAAACTGCAAAGTGAAAAACATACTATTGTTTTCATCATGCAAACACAGCAAAGCTAAACCGAAGCGCCTCGGCTGGGGAACAGCTCTCCACAGCGGACCGGCGTTAGACTGAGGGTTCTGAACCGGAATACAGCTGCCACCTGCACAGCCTCTGGAGGCGGCTTAGGAAAGGGACATGAGCCGATGGGTGAAACCTGGTTGGAGACCAGAGGTTGCACTTGAGCTCCTGGCTGGGAAGGAACCCTGGCACCTGCCAGGGGATTACGCAAGTTTTTCAGCCGCTGCACAGCCCCAGTGTGGCAGCCTGATTTTCCTACCTCGTATTTCATGCCACAGAAAAGGCGACAGAGGAGCAAAACCAAAGGAAAACGGCGTTTGACCGGCACCACGTTGGTGAACAACCTCTGACAGAGGCTTTAAATTAAGATCCTGTGGTCCAACACTCTAAAGCCATCAATCAGACTGAAAGCCAGACGCAGAGAGGTGGAGGGGGGAAGCTTCCCCAGGGGCAGAGCGCATGATGAACCTGACCTCACACCACTGGGGATCCCGAAACTGCCGAAATGTGGAGAGGGGCCATCTCGGGAGGGTGGGGACTGTGGTTCGGGGGCCGTCTGTCTGGGAGTCCCTGGAGGCTGTTCTGAAATGCTTACAGCAGCTTCCATAGCGGCTGCACCATGTTCAATAGAAAATAAAAACCAGGCAAATGGAAAAAATGGGGGCTGGCGTGGAACTAGAGAGAAGGTTAAATGCAGGGGTTACCCCCCTTTTATGTGTTTGTTTGCTTATTACTTTACGGTAGTCCCTATAAGTCTGGGTGCCCCTCTAAGAGAGAGACAGGAAAGGTTTGTAATAATAGCGCTAGCAGTTTGTCTTCCAACGGAGAGAAAATCTCCTTTAAAACCATCTTTAAACTAATCATAGTCAAAGCAAACATTCTGTGCGTAGCATGTGCCCGTTGACAAACCAGGGGCTTTCCTTGCCTTGTCTCTTCATCTGTGTGAGGTGGACATTATCATTACGGTCGTTTTGTAGACAAGGAAGATGAGCTTCGGAGAGATCCATGAACTCTCCCAAGTTCACACAGGCTGGGAAGAGGAGGGCTGGGGCTCTGGTCAAGGGCTTCTGAGAATCAAGCCTGTCTTGCTAACCTTTGGATGGTCCTGCCTCTGATCATTGGCTCTTGGAGAAAAATATGTTTATTTTTATAGCGTGGAGTTTTTCCAGGTCAGTCTCCTTGCAAACGACCCCAAATTGCTGCCTCAAAACACATACTTGCTCATTCTACACAGCACAGCTTCTTCTGGAACAATTTCCTCAGCTTCAGCATACTATGAATCTTACACCCAAGTGTTTTCCCCTCTTTGCCTGGGAGCTGGAATACTTCAAGCCCAATTTGCACCTCGCCTGCCATTACAGAGGAGTGACATGAGTACCAAGAGCATTTGAGTGTTTTCTGTGCCCTGAGCTTGAGACTGACACTTGCACTAACTCACTAGAAGCTCATCAGCAGCCTCTAAGACAAGTGTTCTCATTACCCCCGCTGAGCAGAGGAGGGCCCGGGAACACAGACTGGCTGGGTGGTTTCCTCAAGCTCATACAAGCAGGAGGTGGCAGCGCTGGGGTTCGCCCAGGCGGTCTGACGCTAGGCCAGTGATGGCGAGCCTTTTGAGCTTGGAGTGTCAGCAGCATTTTTGAAAAACCCTAACTTAACTCTGGTGCCGTGTCACATATAGAAATTTTTTGATATTTGCAACCATAGTAAAACAAAGACTTATATTTTTGATATTTATTTTATATATTTAAATGCCATTTAACAAAGAAGAATCAACCAAAAAATGAGTTTGCGTGTCACCTCTGACACGTGTGTCATCGGTTCGCCACCACTGCCCTAGGCTGTGCTCCTTACCTCTGCAATATTGTCTCTCACCGCCATGGACAGGCCAATCTGATTTTATTGTAACCTGTGTTCTTCTTTTCTTTGGTGTGGCAGATTGTTACAAAATGGTCCCTAAATCCTTCGCTAATTCCCAATCTTGATTGTGCCCAGAGTTGACCCTTTTGTTCTGGGGACCTTTTCTCTTTTATCATCTTTTGCTTTTTCCCCCCTCCTTTATTTTTTAAATTAGGTAATTAGGCCACACAATTAATTGCACCTCTCTGTATCCCGGCCCTTGTGTAATCCCTCCATGTTTGTTGACTCTGATTTGCTCTGATCAATGGAAAGGGCAGAGGTGACAGTGTGTGGCCTTCAGAGGCCTTGAAGCTTCCAGTCTCACTTTCTTGGAAGCCACCTTGAGACCACCACCTAAGGAAGCTGGTCTAACCGCTAGAGGATGAAAGGCCACAGAGGAGAGCCAAAGGGGCTCAGCCTAGGCCAGTACTGACTGCCGGGCGGGAGAATGAGGTCATCTTGACCATTCCAGCCCAGCTGACCCTCAGCTGGATGAGTCCCAGAGTGAGTTCAGGTAGAACCAGCCAGGGAACCACCCAGCCAGCCCATAGAAGCAGTAGAAAGAACACATTTTTATTTAAGCCATTGACTTTTGTAGCATCTTATTAAACAGCAACAGATAACTGAAACACTAGACTTGCTCAAGTCTTTATCAATTTACCTCATATTTTTGTAGCCCTCTCAAACCCTTCAGCCAATCCATCAATCGACCAACTATTTCTCCAGTGTTTCTCCAGAGGTCATTCAAATACTAATCACTATGTAGCAAGGATGAATGGAAGAAATGGGAAATATCATCAAGAGAAAAGATGTGTCATCAGAGACCAAGGCTAAGATCATCCACACCCGCATATTTCCAATAGCCATGCACAGATGAGAAAGTCGGACAGAGAAGAAGTCCAATAGGAAAAAAACTTATTCATTAGAAATATGCTTAACTTTATGAACACCCTGGACCGCCAGAAAGATGAACAAGTGGGTCCTAGAGCAACTTAAGCCTGAAACATCTCTGGAAGCAAAAATGACAAAACTGAAGCTGTCCTACTTTGGCCACATCATGAGAAGGCAGGGTTCTTTGGAAAAGACAATGATGCTGGGAAAATAGAAGACCGAGCATGAGAAACTGACTCCATAAAGGAAGCCATAGGCATGAATCAATAGCAGCTGAGCAGGGCTGGTGAGGACAGGACATTATAGATATGGCTCATTCATAGGGTCTCCAGGAGTCAGAGCTGACTCTCTCTCTCTCTCTCTCTCTCTCTCTCTCACACACACACACACACACACACACACACACACACACCCCCACCAACACACTCCAAGGAACATGAGCTCATTCTGTCTTTGAGGACCCAGAAGCCAGTCCCAGCCTTGGAGCCATTTTCACCCCCTACCCTCTGAGTCCCCACCCACATGAATCTTACAATTTCCAACTGTCAGTTTTCCTAGACACCAAGAGGTCACCTTCTGGAATGCAAAGCAAGGAATCTATGTCAGGGGTCTCTTCATGGCCCTGGGCCAGAGAGGGCGCTCCCCAGAAGTGAACACTACTGTTCTAAAATATTCCATCTCTGCTTAGCAGACTTCGAGGAAGAA